TCCCCCCCGCTCCGAAAGCTGGGAGAGCCCCCGCTCAGCCCTGAGCCACCTGCCCCACTTGTGGTACCGCTTGTGGTCCTGCAGGACCGGAGAGGCCGGAACGAGGAGCCCTGCCTGGCCCGCCACCGCGCGAGGCAGAGACGCACCGCCACGCGCCACCCTAACGAACCTCTCCGCCTTCTCGGGAGCCTCGTGAAGCAGGCACGCTTAAAAAAACGGCTAAATGACTAAATAAAAGGAGCCCTTTTCTCTGCAGAGGGCCTGCCAAGAGTCGCCGCGAAACGGTGGCCGCAGGCATCTCCTTGGGCAGATCACCGCGGCCGGCAGACGCTGACCTGTCTTGTAGATCTCGTAGCGCAGGGAGAAGCCGGCGCCCTGCCTGGCGTAGTCCGAGGTGAACTTGATGTAGAGAGAAGGGCCGGAGGAGATGATGGTAGGAGGCGCTATGTTGCCGCAGTGCTTGCCCAGCAGGTCCGCCGCTTCGCTGTCCCCATCCCGGATCTCGATGAAGTCGTACCTGTGGAGGCAGGGGAAAGGGCAGTGAGCCCGTCCGCCCGGGAGATGCCGCGGGACGCAGGGAGCAAACGCAAAGCACCTCTGTATATCTCCGTATGCCACAAAACCATCGTCCAGGCTGGTTTTGGGGGACTCTGTCACCCCCCCACCCATCGCCACGCATCTTTCCCCTCTGCCTGCCTGGCTGCGTTTAAGTCCCGTCCCCCATCGCGCCTCACATCGTTCATTTCCTGCGCCCACATCCACATCCACTCCAACTTCAAAGCCAGCTCACCAAATTTAGGAGACAAGTAGCTTGCATTTCCGCAAGACTGCTTTGACAGGGGAGAGAAGCTCAGACACGACCCTCCTGCGGCTGCTCTCCTTCCCTTACAGCTCTCCCAAAGTGTCACCGTGCTACTGAGCACGGCTCCGGCAGCTGGCACGTCACGACCCCGCTTACTCCACCACCCAGGTGGGATTTGGCCAAGCACGTACCAAACGTTACGCAAAAAGTCAATGTTTGGTCGATATGAGCAGGTGGCTAGTTCGTGCAGCGTGTGACACCATATCGGTCCTTTTAACAAGCGTGGCTGGTGCACTTATTTAGTGCTTGGACAGCAACACGGATCCTCTTCTGCAGAGCGCTCACAAAGATTTCGGTGGATAAGGGGCTGCATGAGAGCCGGTCTCCGCGTCCGCTCTTGCCCGTTCCGCGTAGCCCTGTCACCACGAGCTGCCTTTGCTGCCCGGCCCCAGCAGCTGGCAGCTGCCCGGTTTTGAGGAGCTGCCTCCCTCCCTCCCTCGCAGCCCCTGCCCGCTGGGCGTTCACGCGTGCGGAGCTCGGGGCTGCGCTCGGCCCGCTGCGGGGGCGCACGCTCGCTGCAAAGCCCGGCTGGAAGGTGAAACCCCCACCGCTTCCCTCCGATTTTCATCCAGGCCCCGACTAGCGGCCAGGTAGCACCAGGCTCTGCGTGCGGTGGAGGAGCGAACAGCTTTTACGCGAACATCTTGTTCTTCAGCTGCCTTCCAACACGCTCGCTCTCCCGCCCCTGTCTCCGTCTCCGGCCGGCACGCCGCTATTTACAGAAACTGCCCATCTCTCCTCCACTGTTTATTCGCTTTGTATCAACCTGTTTGAACAACGTGCGGCAGGCAGCTCTTCCCACGGGGACGGGGAGGGAAGGAGCGCCGCAGCGCTGCCAGGAATCTGCCTTTCTTCTTTGTCACAAGATCTCCTGTTTGGGAACGGAGAGCGGAAAGGAGAAGCAGCTCGTTGGATACAGGGCGATCCTCATGTGACTCGTTCCCCTTCTGCCGAGCACGCGTCGGCAGGCTGCAGCCTCGCAGCACGCTTACAGGAACTCGCTGTGCTCCTCCACGAGGCAAGATGGCCCCTGAGCGGCTTCACTTTCACTCCTTTCTGGGACTAAAGCCGGCAGAGAGCCAGAAGCAAAACGCCTGCAGACAAAATCCCGTCCATGCTGGACCCGGTGCCGAGCTAGCTGCAGCTAGCCAGCCTTTCACGTGGTTACGGACCCAACGGGCTCGGCCAAGGTGAAACAAGCCAAGCGATCTGGAGAGGTGCCCCCGAGGAGAGGCGCTGGCCCAGGAGGAACGCTTGGCTTTGCCGCTGGGTGGAAACGCACGGGTGTCAGCGAAGATCTCTGCTCCGAACAGCTTCCCATCACCTCGTGACCCCTTACTACCCCACCGCCATCCGCCAGCACCCGCCGTGACCCTGCTGATGTCTGTCACGCGTAGCTTGATCTCATCTTCTCCCCGGGGAGAAGGAACACAGCAGGCAGCGTTAGTGCTGCTTCTAAACAGGGTTTTTTCCTCCTTGCTTGTCTATTTGTTTAAAGCAGCGCTGAGCAAACAGTGGGGACATGTTGTTCTCTGAGCAAGGGCTTGATCTCACCGCGCCTACAGCCCTTTCACATCTCAAGTTCAGGGCTGTGCTCCGGGACTACCAGCTACAAGTGAAATCAAGCAAATTTGGCAAAAAACGGGAATGCTGGCAAAAAACACGGCTAAACGTACCGGGTTGCCAAAGCTGCCATTTGCATGGCACAGGTTAGCTGCGTCCCAGGGAAACACATCTGCTTGCGTCCTCGCGGGGTTACGACTCGCCAACGCAGTACACGGCATCAACCGCTTGACTGCAATGATCAGCGCTTCTAGTGTAGCCAACGCACGAAACAGCCTATTGCCAGCCATGCGGCGCTGAAACCAACCAATACTGCAGAAGCAATTTCTGAAGCAAATTCTGGACCAAGAATTATTTGCTTATTGAATGGGTGAATAACTTCCAATAATACATACAATTTGGGAATATTGCAATCTGCTCCTGGCCAATCTGCAAATGGAAGACGAAAAGAATGACTCTAGTAAGTAAATCATCAGGAAATATTTGCCTCTCTCTAAATTAAACCCTGTTTGGCTTCATCCAAGCATCTAACCGAGCTTTCTCCTACTGGAGCTAATCCTTAATAAATCAAATGTCGCAAACAACTAAAGAAGCCCCTAGGAGAAGGTCAGGGAGTCGTTTTTGCCAAATGTGAAATGCACATAAACACATAAGAGTTCTCTAGTTAAAAAATCTTGGCCCGAGCCCTCTGCTCCCCATGAGGCAAAACTCTCTTTGTGTTCCTTCAGGTCACATAAACAAACTGTGAATTGGGACAATCTCACAGTCAGGAGACGTCTCCTACCCAGATGCTCTGCAAGAGCACCTACTTCCTCTCCAACGTACCAGTTAAGCTGTAGGCCGCCAGAGACGCCCCCTCCCAAGCGCACGCGGTTCAGTTGGTTCAGCGAGAACACCGGCTGATCCCCACCGCAGGCTCTTCCGGCGGCGCGTGCTTCGGTCGCGTCCACGCGTTGGCCCGCGATCAAACAAGCTGATAAACCCCATTCTCTTCACGCTGGGTCACCGGCCACGTTAGAATCTAGCTTGGCCAGAACTTTGCTTCTGTTAAGCTTACACATGGTTTCCAGATTTAGTTCTTCCCATGTGATAAACAAGAAGAAAGGTTCGAAGGAAGAAAGCCCAACCCTGTGGATGCTTTCTTCTCTAATCATCTCATTTCCACATAATTACAGCCTCGCTCACGGCTGGGTGGGACACATTTATGTGGCACGCCAACCGTCTCGACCAGTCCCCGGCAATTTGCATTTCTCTCCTATAACCGAACGTACTGTTCCAGTCAACGCGCACCAGCACACTTGTGGGCTGAACTCCCTGACATGAGCTCCGCTGGGGAAGCTCTGGTGTCCGAGATCACATTTCAGGGCCACCACTTCTCCCCGTCTAGGCATTGCTCCAAGGAGGCAACCACAACTAAGAGGGGGCTAGCATCCATAACCGGCACGGAGGGTCAACGGAGGGGCCAAGTTCTCTCGCAGGGAAGGTGACCGCAGCACGATAGTTATTTTCAGCTGCTGCCTGAGTAGGGAGGCCAGTCAGTTGGTTTAAAACCATCTCAAACGAGCTTAGTTTCCACCAGGGAGTTTTAAAGCAGGGAGGCAGAGCTGAAGTGCTTTTAACCACCCAGACGACGGGGGGTTGAGAAGGGAGGGGACCTGCGCTGCCGAGACGCTCTT